TGATAAATGTAACCTTAAAACAAAATACCAAACTATACTCACGATTACACATATAGCTATAACTTCGAATTATAGAGGTAGCGACAATGGAAGTTCGACTTATAGAGGTGAACTTCGATTTGTAGAAGTCTGGCTACTTTAAAATTCGAGTTATAGAGGTAAAATATATATCTAAATGCCTGACAAATAATTTGAGTTAAAGTAGGTTTTATTTCGATTTATAGAGGTTTGCCTCGAGCGGAGCGGAAGGGGATCATGAACAAAATTTTCGTCTTATAGAGGTTTTCGAGTTGTAGAGATTCGAGTTATCGAGGTTCGACTGTACTTTTAAGAATCATCAATAACTGATAACGGTAACAATTATTACTTTTTTAACTCGTTAATGATTAACAGTTACTTTTAAAAAGTAGCTTCTCATTCCCTAAAAACAATACGTCTGCGTATATTACATTATATGTGTTTATATTATACATATATTACATCATTGCTGCAGGATTAATTTCTTGTAGCTTCATTCGTTCAATTTTTAAAATTAATTCGATCAATATGATTAAAAGAATTCTGCAATATTGATAATATGGTATATTCGTTTTACTTACACGCGCACTATCATTTACATGCCAGTAGATACATTCCACATTTTTCATAGAAAGCATTACTTAATTGCTTATGACTAGAGAGCTTCTAATTAGAGTGGCGCCATATAGCTGCCACTTTTAATTGGTCCGCCATTTTGTCTCCAGTCCGATGTTGGATAGACTGAGAAAGACTGTTGGATAGACTGGGTGAGACATATTCTCTGTTTCTCTTGCACTTTTACTTTTCTCTCGCGGGATTTGGAGACAAAATGACATCACTTCTCATATGGCGCTACTCTGATTAGAGGCTCTCTAATGACAACGACGGCACAGGACAATTTCGATCACAAACTTCGATTGACTTATCGGCGATTAATTTATTAAATAATGCTTATTTATGTAGTAATAATGCTTATTAACATTGATTGATAGTAACGTTAATTTTTTTCTTGTTCAATATATAAAACAAATTAGGTTACAGAATTACATTAATTAGAAATTTCACTTTGAATAATTCGATCAGTTATTGATTTATAAATCGCATCGATTTAAGATTCATATATTAAATTCTGGTTAAAGTCATTCATAACGAAGATTTTACAATGTTTAAAATTTGTTTAGAAAACGCCTATTAGCCTAACTAATCTCTGAAATGAAGCTGTATTATATTTAACATGTATCTTATTTTGTAACACAAATTTTGCTTATCTCCAAATAATGTCCATAAAACTTCAGCTATAATTTTTTTCGTATGTAAACCTTAAAACTTATTTTAGCTGCGGCACTGATGAGATATTATTAAAGATCGACATTCTTATAAAAGTTTGCGTAATAAAATATTGTATTTACACACAGGTTAATTGTTAAAATTTTAACAATTATAAACCTATATATGTATAATTATAAGCAATGTGTAATACAATATTAATTTTATAATTTACTATTATCTAATGTTTTTTTAGATAATTACATATAGGTATTTATAACTAGTAATATTTAATTTTATTTTAAAATTGCATTTTTATCAGTGGCATAACTTCAAAATTTGGACTTGGGGGCATGACTTTTTGAAGACCCTGTCATTGAAAAGAGTAGTTATAATAGGTACATTTTCCTTAGTAATTAGATTAAGGTTTAGGCGATTTAAATATCATAAAGTAAAAATTTAAATATCATAAAATAAAAATCCAATTATGCACCTATATTTTTTTTAAATAAGAAACAATACAGAAAATAAATTACAAAAACGTTAATGAATAGTTTCTAATTTAGAAAAAGAAAAATGGCATAATCGTGTTTTACACCTTTCTTCTCGACTTTGCGTTAGTAAACGACTGAATTATTTTGTCTGTATTAAAATTCTTCGCCCTGCGTTTTTCAATGGATATACTAGGTATACAAAGATTGGAAAAATTTGCAATTAGTAGATGATTCTCTACTATTAAAAATTTTGGTACATCATATACCGATTTAAGTTCATCGAGTTTATTTCCAAATAAAGTTTTTAACTGTATAATTTGGTTTACAAGATTGCTGAAGATTGATTGTTTACAAGATTTACTGAAAAATCATCTGCGTACTTTTGAGCTAATTTTAAAGCAGACTGTTCAAGTTGTTAGTCTTTAGTTTAAATGCAAATATTTTAAGGAATAATAGATTAAAAAAGGCTTGCAATTTCATTTAAACTTTGAAAACGTGGTTTTAATTGTGAAATCACTATATTTTTCTATAAAAAAATCTGTGTCTGAAAATATTTTCTTATATCCAATAATCTTTCGTCAAAACTTAATTCATCTGCAAATTTCGAAACTTCTCTTCTTCGTTTTTGTTTAAATATAGGCTGAATTCTTAAATTATAAATTCGATCTTCAAATGTTATCACAGTTTTATAAACAGAACGTTTTAAAACCTTAGCTTACTACAGTAACAGACTATTAGAAACAGAGCGGAATGTAAAGTGCAACTGCAGCAATACAAATTTGAAAATACAAAGTTAAGTTTTTGAGAAAATCTTGTCACAATCAGTCAAAGTTGCTAAAATAGGCGTTTTTAATACTTTTGCATTAGTTATATATTTTGATATAGAGTTTTACTGGAAATGATTTATAGAATGTCAAGGGCAAATAGTATTGGATAATTTAATTAAAAATAAAATTAAGTTTCAAGTCCTAACGACCCTTGGGCCCGGGGCCGCAGTCTTCTCTGCCCC